TGCGAGTGGGATAGTATTATCGGTTAGCAAGTCTTAGTTCTATTCGGATTCCCTTTCCCGGTCAAGCATTGTATCCACTCCGATCAACGACTGTGTATATAAACCCCGCTGAGCCATTGTTGAAGCGACTACTCCTGGAAAGCATTTTTCCAAGTCTTCATCTGTTACTACTCCCTCGAACAAAATACCATTTCCTCTTAAAATGTCAGCCCCGAAGTTACGCGTCGGTATTGCCGGTCTCGGCAGAATGGGTAAGCATTGTTCTCACCATTATGCGAAGATCTTCAATTGACACATAACAGGCCAGCGACACGCATTGAACTACCATGTTTTTACTCCTCGTGCCGAAGTGGTAGCAGCAAGCTCTCCTGATCCCAACGAACACAAATGGGCAGCAGAAAACCTCACAGGAGCAAGAATTTATAAAGACTACTATGAAATGCTCGAGAAAGAAAACTTGGATGCTGTTGTCGTTGCTGGTATTACTGCAGTCCACGCAGATCATACCATTGCCGCTATCAAGAAGGGATTGCATGTTATGTGCGAGAAACCTTTGTCTCTTGACATCAAGATTGTAGGCATTTCTACGTGAGACCAAATATAGAAACACATGCTAACTACGATAGGCTCAATCTGTTCTCGATGCTTACAACACATCTCTCAAAACCCACCCTAACCAGAAAGTCATGTGCGGTTTTTCGCGCCGCTTTGATGCTTCTTACCGCGAGGCCTATGAGAGAATGGTCTCAGGCGAACATGGCCGACCAGTGGTCTTCAGATCCCAAACCGCAGATATGCTCGACACTACTGGGACATTTGTGAATTATGCCAAGACCAGTGGTGGAATATTCCTCGACTGCTCCATCCATGACATTGACCTGATGCTGTGGTTTATTGGTGAGAACACCAATATCAAAAGCCTGCAAGCCGTTGGAGTCGTTGCCGTCCACACTGCATTGGATTCAAGCAAGGACCGTGACAATGCGGTAGCTACGGTTGAGTTTGACGGTGGGAAGATTGCAACTCTCTTCTGCTCGCGTATGATGGCTGCTGGACAAGAAGATACTACTGAGATCATCTGCGAAAAAGGGTCACTCAGAGTCAATATGCAAGGCCGGAAAAACCACCTTGAGATCCACGATGGACAGGGAGCTAGACGCGATCTTCCGAAGCATTATTATGAGCGTTTTAGAGAGGCTTTCCTCACGGAAGCTAACGAGTTCACTGCTTCCTGCTTGGATAACACGACTCCACCAGTGTCCCTTTCAAGCTCGGTGAAGGCAGTTGTTATTGGTTCGGCTTTGCAGAAGAGTTTGGTGACTGGTGAAAAGATTGTTTTCGATTTTGGGAAAGAGGCTAGACTTTAGATGCAGGGCACCTTACACATAAAGCTCTCCGATTATGTATTCAATAGATATCAAAGTGCTTTTTTCTGGATTTTGTTTGTTTGTACCTGTCTCATGTAACACCCGTGGATATGTCACCATTTAATTATCAACAACGCGCCTCCTCGCCTTTTCATTATATTCCTCCACTACAACCTTTAGCAATCTAGTCACTGAATTCAAACAAAATCTTACTCAACTGGTTGCTTTTATACCCGCCAAAATGCCGCACTCGAGCATATGTTTCTAACAGCCGAAAATCCGAGGAAAGCGATACACTCGGTGTCAAGGTCAAAACACCAACGACCAAGAGGAGAACTTTAAACGGGTTGGTCTCCAAGATGCTAAGTTGCGCAATCCACAAAATGGGAACTGTGAGGTTTCATTGTCTCTGCCGTGAGGGCCCCAGCTAACTTATATTTCAGTAGGTAGCGCACTCCGAAAAAATAGCAATAGACACATGCCATTGACATTATCTCAGCTCCTAGGTCATCCGTGGGAGCTTCAAAATGGAGGTGCGAGGCTCTGGACGAATCAAAAAACAACCACTACTACCACTACCATTGTGGAATCAGTACTTGACTTGAACAACGCCTAAGGTCATTATTTCGAGCAACAGAAGTTGATCATTTTATTGACGATATAACAGAAAACCTCGAACATGAGGTCGAACAGCTGGTGGGATAACGGAATTTCCTCTACATCAGACTGAATCGTGCGGTAGTACGACAAATTCTTGGGCTTGGGCTTCGTCTTAGACGCTCGATGCACTCGTATTTCGATTCCCAGCCACGCCCCGTTCGTCAAACGCCACAAGCGTGCGAAATGACCCGTCGACTTCAACTCGGATGGCGACATTTACCCTGATTGGGCACCTGGTTATTGCATAGGCGTTCGGACTGCCTTTCCTAGCAGTCTACGCGGTCCATTACATCTTGACTGGCTCATTTCCCAGGGCTTCCGTCTGGCTACCCGACAATCAAAACAGACATGACGAAATGTCCCACCCCGGTTTCCACTTTGATGAAATTGAAGTTCATCGGTAGCAATTGAAGCTTGTCAAAATTATCTCCACTTTTGCGGTGAGGAAATCGAATAGGATACATTCAATATGACTAAATTCTTGGGAAAGAATGACTCCAATGTCATTGTAGATATCTGCATCAGTGCGAAGAAGTTTTGGCCAGTCTTCCCAGATCTGGGAGCTTAATGCCCAGGCAACATCGTCGTAGGATTTACATGGGTTCATTTTGAGAAGAAGCACAGTTTTCTTGTAATTTTCGAATGAAGTGAATTGTGGCTGGTGTTAAGGGAGTTCAGGGGCAGCTAGACCTTTGGCGTTTCTGGCGCCAAAAGTAATTTCATCACTCCTTATCCTGCAATATTTTGCTTCCTTTTTCCATGTGTGCCAAACTTGCTTGATGTTAGTCAATCTTTGATGCTCTGTACTCTGGCTTCCAAGTGTCAACCCCCTGTAGAACATATCAAGAAGCGGTGAGGTGAGACTTGTACATGTGAGAGTACAACCTTTCGGACCTGCAAACAGGCTCGTCTAGGTATAATTGCTAAGAATATAACGTCTAAGAACAGCCATATTCCACTAGTATGATAAACCTCTTTGCATTTAAATAAAACCAAACTGAGACATAGATAAAGCAAGAGCTATGAACTGTTCCTACATGTAAAAGAGTCATGGTAATGTAGCATCCCCGGGTGGCCGTAGCCAAGCGGCGGAACTTGCGGCAGTTGCGGCCATCTGCGTGGGGAAGATGAGTGAAAATCTCATAGCTGGTTCCCTGTCAGAACTAAAATATGCTCGTCGGTCGACTCCCTCCGTGTTAAAAGGGATAGAGTATCCCGGATTCACAAACTGAAAGTCGCTGTCGGTACTATTCTTTGGCTTCCTCCATCCCTCGGGAAATCTCTCTTTTTCTTTTTTCTTTTTCCTTTTTTTTGGCTCGAATGTTTCGAAGATGACCTTGTAGGTACTTATCCCACACTATTCAATGTTCATATATGAAAAGGATTTCCCAGACGTAGTTGGATGACTCTTTTCACACTTATAATGCTTATGTCTTTCTTTTTCTATCCATGGATAGTCTAGAGCTTCCAAATCTTACTGCGGGTTATTATACTTTGGTTGAAAGTGCTAATGTTACTGCAAGTAGCCCCTAAGAAATAAATGTAAATGCTCCTATATGTAAAAAGGTAAATCTAATATAGTATGCCCCCGGGTGGTCGTAACCTAGCGGCGACACTTGCAAGGGCAGGGCTAAGCTGTCCCACCCTGTCAGAACTAAAATATGCTTGTCGGTCGACCTTGCAACTGTCTACCATCTTTACCAAGAAACAAGAGAAGGCAACGAGGCGGAGGACGTCGACGACGCAATGGTTGAATCCTGATTTGACCACCAATATATATATATTTTTTTTTTCATTTTTTTTCAAGAAAGTAGAATGCTTCAAAGGTGATACTTATCCTACAAGGCCGGTTCTAGTTTGTTCCTTTATTCCCTGCAATTTCTGGTGCCAGATATAGAACGATACAGAGTACAAACACAGCATATTATCTGATTAGTTGACTACTGCGTAAAACCAGGGTAGTGATTCAAGATTCATCTTCATTGGCTGATCTTGGGGATCTATGGCAAAATGGGGTATCTCAATAAACATGGAACAAACTTGAAGTAAGAAGCCTACTTCTGTTTTCTCACCACAGGAACTGGCGTTGAAACTCAAACGAAGGCGCTCCCTGCCAGGAACTTATTCTTTCCACCGGAGCAGTCTCTTCATGCACGTTATCTGATGACTCCAGGACCGTACGATTAGGTGTTTCATTGGTACTTCCATCGATGTCTCGTGTTGTGGTAGAAATTTGAACCGATCCATCCGAGCTTTCATTCTGCAAACGCCTTCTCTTAGGACCCTCCTGCTGTACCTCCGAGCCCACCCTTTCAGGCTCGGTACAAGCCTGCTGCCACCTCCGAATACCATGAGAAGTATCAAGAGGGAACTGCGACCAACTCTCCATCCCCCTCTTCTCAAGTCTGGGAAATGGCACATATGAGCCACTACCCTCTCGACAAGGAATCGCAGCCGAAAGTTGCTCTTCCGAGACATGTGGAAGCAAGTTCAAAAGAATACTTTCAGTGAGCTGGAGTCGATTCTCCAGTGCTTCGGTATATCCTTTCTCAGGCCCTCTTCGAAGTTGTTCGGGCCAGTTGCACGGTCGATTGTTCTCGAGACATTGTTCGCAAATGGGTTTTAGGCCGCTGCATTTTTGTTTTCTTGAGCGACACGCGTTGCAAGCGATTGTTATACGTGCTGGAGCTTTTGCTTTTGATTTCGATGGCATTTTATTTTCTTGTGTGGCAGATTCAAGATGTGTTGGGGTGAGTGTGGTACAGTGGCGAACGGCAAATCCCATCGCCTGAAAGTTCTGCCGAATGGCTCAGCTTGTCGTTACAGCGGCCATTCGGTCAAAAATGTGTATATGGCAGGGCGAACTATCAGCCGTCTTTGATCGCAGACATGTTTTATATATAATCTGCCATCTATCTGTCTGGGAATACTCATCACATCATCCCTAGTCCCACATACACATCTCCTCTCACCATGGCTTCAAATAATTCATACCGCATTGCATCTATCCCAGGCGATGGCATTGGTGTTGAGGTAGTCAGCGCTACTATCCAGGTCATTGAGAAACTTGCGAAGACCCTTGGCACATTCAATATCAACTTTGAGCATATCCCATGGGGAACCGCGTACTACAAGCAAACTGGACGATACGTGTCTGAAGATTACCTCGACACTCTACGCCAGTACGATGCTATACTATTCGGTGCCGTTGGAGCACCCGGTATGTTCTCTATACAGCATACATTATGCTAAACCACCGAACTGGTAAAACAGCAATATTAACGCCAACAGATGTACCCGATCACATCTCACTCTGGGGCCTACTCCTCGCCCTCCGCGGCCCACTCCAACTATACGCCAACGTCCGCCCAGTCCGAACCTTCCCAGGAACCAAATGCCCCCTCAACACGGCAACAAACGGCATCGACTGGATGCTCGTACGCGAGAACTCCGAAGGCGAGTACGCAGGCCAAGGCGGCCGCTCTCATGTCGGACAGCAATGGGAAGCCGCGACAGAAGTAGCTTTATTCACGCGAGTGGGTATTGAGCGGATTATGCGCTTCGCATTTGAGACAGCGCAGTCGCGGCCGCGTAAGTTCCTAACCGTCGTGACGAAAAGCAATTCCATGCGCAATGGAATGGTGTTGTGGGATGAGATTGCTGCTCTTGTCGCGAAGGACTTCCCCGATGTTAGCTGGGATAAGATGCTTGTTGATGCCATGACTGTTCGGATGGTTATGAAGCCGGAGTCGATTGATACGATTGTCGGGACGAACTTGCATATGGATATTTTGTCGGATCTTGCTGCTGCGTTGGCTGGATCGATTGGTGTTGCACCTTCTAGTAATTTGGATCCTACGCGCAAGAGTCCGTCAATTTTTGAGCCTGTTCATGGGAGTGCCTTTGATATTACGGGCAAGGGGGTTGCGAATCCAGTTGCTACTTTTTGGTCGGCGGCGGAGATGTTGATTTGGATTGGGGAGAAGGATGCTGCTGCTCAGTTGATGGGTTGTGTGGAACGGGTTTGTGCTAAGGGGATTTTGACTCCTGATCTTGGGGGCACATCTGACACTCAGGGTGTTGTGGATGCTGTTTGTTTGGAGATTGAGAAGTTGGGTTGAAAGAAGGTCTGAGACAATTTATTGTCTTTTCTCCTACTTTTCTTCTTTTCTTCTACTCTTTGTCTCTTTGTCTTTTTTCGTCTAGTCTCATCTGAAACACCACTTTAGATGAACTGATTAGTTGACCATGCATTGAATATCAATAGACATAAAATATGGAAAGATGATTGCAGGAATTGCCCTATAGACATTTTCCTTTTAAGTAGTGAGCAATACATTCCTGAGAATAGTCCAGAAGATCATTTACCTGTTAAATTTGCATGAATATCCATAAATAATACCTCAAAGGCATCTCACACAAGACGGAACAGATCAGGAGGCCATGGACTAAGAACTCCGGAAATGCCATTATAGCAACATGACACCTGTTTCCCTCATATAAAAGGAACATAAACAATATCAGTATGATCTTGTCTTACAGTCCAACATTTAAACGGCCTTAGCACCCTATATCCGGACTTCACAGTTACTCAGAAAGCATTCAACCGGACCTTCAAACAAACCAAATACACTCGACCACTCGAATCTATCTATACTCACACTCAACCACCCATTCATGACCCTTCAGACACAAGCTCATAACCACAAACCAACCAACTAACGCCCTCCAAGGGATGTTCTACCAAAACGGAAAAGTGCTACAAGAGCCTGAATACAACTCTCGAACAACAATCTGGGTGAACGTATTCTTCAATGCATACGACTACAGGTGCGATGACCTCGCTATAATGCGCACAGTCATCACCTGCATCCGCACAAGGGTTGCTAGTATCACCACCCATGCTATGCACCACGATATCCCATTTTGTATCTCGATCCAGGTGCCTGGAGGACATGGTGATAGGGAGTCAATTCTTGCTGCTGCCGAGGTGTCGGCGGAAGATATTCGAGAGCAGATCGCTAGCGGGTCTGTTCGTATTAATCGGGCTTTGCTCTTTCAGAGATAGGGTTTTATTATTGGGGAAGGATGGGGGCTTTTGATCTCGGACCTGGTGTTTTTTGCTTCCTGATGCTTAATGACTTATGTATTGTTTAGACTGGGTATTTTATAGACTGGGGAATTGGAGTATCTTTGTTTTTCTCTATAATTTCAACAATATCTATACTGTAGAAGTTCGGTTGGTTTAAACTTGTAGAAACAACCCTGAAGTCCTGCACGAATACGAGCATTGATATTGCTGACCGTAATTAGATGAAAGTAATACATTTAGATAGCTGTCCATTTGGGTCTGAGATTCCGAGACAGTGTATCATGATAGTATCGCCTTGTATGCCGTCATGCCCCTATGCCATGCTGCTAGTTGAAATAGGATACTACGAACACAACGTGTATTTTCAAGCTTAACTGTGAAAGGCCCATTTTCAATAGAATAGGCAGAACTAATACATAGGTTCCTTTCGAGTCATTAACTAGGCAGACCTCAAAGTACTGGGAGATTCCTTAAAGACTCAATAAAAACAGACACAAAGACATCCTGGAAATAGATGAAAGCCTTGAAAATAGCATTGTATCATACCTCCTCCTTTGTTCCTACCCAGGCTCCCGAGCCGACTATAAACAATAGAGAAACAACAGGCAAAGAGTACATAAACAGAGCCCGTATAATCCCACGATACTCGAAACCTACTCCTTCCCATCTTCCACCTTGCCTTTTTTTCTCCCAATCACTCCACCACTTCACCACAAACAAACACCCACAAGGTAAGAAAACCCCACAACCTTTATCCAAGAAATAGGCATCCTCACCTCAACGACAAAGATGCAGGGCATGTTCTACTTCGATGGGGACCTAATCCCCGAACCCGAGTACGACCCACGCCAAGTCAGCAACTGGGTGAACGTCTTCATCCAGGCACGGGACTCAGACTCCGACGACGAGACCCTCATGCGCACAGTCGCAGCTTACATCCGAACAAGCACCGCCTCCATCTCCGTTCATGCAAAGCATCATGATTACCCCCTGTGCGTCTCTATCAAGGTCCCCGGAGATTACCATTCCAACAAGGCTTCTATTCTCGCGGCCGCGGAACTGCAGGCTGACTACTATTGCCAGGAGATTCGGAATGGGAGAGTGCGGATTAATCGGGCTTTGCTTTTTCGGCGGGAGGTGCGGGATCGGGATTGGGTGTGATGGTTATAGTGATGGTGCTGAGGGCAGGTTATGGCCTGAATAGATGGGGGATTCGATGATGAGCGTTTGGGGGGAATACACATACAGATACACGCTGCGTGAACAATATGCATTAATTTGGTTTTCTTCTGGTATTATTCATGTGGAATCGTTGCTAGATTGTAGATTGTTTTGTGATTTGAATCAGTATTGTAATAGCATGGATTTAGAAGCTTGGGAATTGCTGCCCGATCATATCGAACAGAGTGTCGAAGTTAGCGCCTTCGATTAAATCCACCATGTTTAAGTCAAAATTCGATATCCCCTCGAGCTGTGCGGGATTCGTGTCCTGTAAATCCATATGCAGTGAAGAGGGTGTGTTAGTGAATGTGTGCTGCTCGTTCATTTGTGACGGATGCATCGACGTCAAAGGAACCAGCGTGGGATCATATCCCCTGTGCATAGGTTCTCCCCATGCGTTACTTTGTTGCCCAGCCTCAAACGGCTCTACGGAGCCAGGTTCTTCTTGCAAGTGCGACAGACGACCAAGTCTCCGTCTGTTCTCCTCGCGTGCAGTCAAAGACTCCACAAGTGTCGGGCTTCCCTCCGAGCCCCTCGTCACATATGCTTGGGAGTTTGACCTTGGACCGGAGTCATTTTCTGACTCTTTGATTTTCGCAGCCAGCACTGAAAGCGACATGTGGCAGTGTTTGGCTGTCTCCCATTGAGTGGACATCAACCGCAGGAATCCCGAAAATTCTTCAATTTCCCTATCGGATAGTCAGTACATCATAATCAACCGAAGATCAACCAGGGTAAACAGAAACACGACACATACTGAAGACCCTTTGACAACACATATTGGTTCAGTTGACAAGCCAAAGCTAAAACCAACCCAGACATCCACGCAGCCGACAAGAAACCAGGCCAGAATAAAGCCTGGTGGCTATCAACTTGCAACCTGAGCGCCGAAAGGATAGCCCGAGCAGCCCCGATACAAGTTTGCAATCCAGAACAGAATTCGGCGGTCGATGGATCCAGCGACAGCGAAGGCCGATGAATGATCAGAATAAGATGTTGATACAGCACAGTGAAAAAAGGAGCAAAATCAAACGCACTATCTGCCATTGCAGACCCTGCCCTATGTTCAAAAGCTCCCGGCTTTCTTTGGAGCTCGGCAGGAAGTCCATTCCACCACTTATGCACGTCTGTCACGAGGAACAACACCGAACTGCGACGAACGGATCGAACCAATATTGATTTATGAAAGAGCTCCAACGCCCGACCCGTCAAAGTGCCTGAATCAACATAGCTAGCAAGAACGCCTTCCTTGCCGTGGTCTTCTTTATTCCCGTGCTGCGACGCAGAGATATCATTCGCAGATTGCGTCGTCTGGCCTCGAGGGGAATGCATTTCCCGGGCAGCAGGCAGACACACATCGATATCAGAATCCTGTATACCAAGCGGCAAACCCAAAGCCTGGCTCAGATATCTATCTATCGCATAAGCGCACCAAAAGATCCGCTTTCGCAGTTGTCGGTCGTGAGTGGAAAGTTGCTTGTATCGAAATGGACACCGGTGGAGACCGGCATGGAGCATCGAGCGTAGAATACAGCCTCCAACGGTCGATGCTTGTCGAAGCGACATGGTTGCGACGAGATAGACTTGGATTGCTAGAAGCGCTTGCAGGGAGACAATATCATGTCGGGAGGAGAGAGTCCCGAGCAAAGAGTTGAAACTGTTTGGTGATTGGATCTTCGATTCGGACGGGAGCTCTAACTCTGGCGCTAGCAGACTCCCCAGATTGAAGACACATTGGAAAATTGTTGTCCAGCATGTACTCCGGTGGTCTATACAGGGCTCCTGCGAGTGCTGAGGTTGATTCCCACTGAAGTAGACCTTCTCCATCGCCTGCAGGAAGGTAGGACCGTGCAGGAACGGGAATAGAGGATGCCAGACTTTGAAATACATCATCATCAAGCCCTTTGCCATATCTGGGGGCGGGAGATTTCCCAGAGAGGCCGTCAGTGTTGGGTCGTAGGTCCATTCTGTGGGAGATTCAACCACCTCCAAAGACGAAGCAGTCTCTCTGATGGATGAGGTGTGCTGGCGCTTATCGCGAGGCGAGGTTTCAGCGCCTACGAGTGTTTCCTCTGCTGTGGGGAAATTTGACTCTGATGAACCTGGGCCATCTAGGTCGTTGAATGCGCGTTTCACTGTCTTGATGAAATAGACGCCACTTGAGCTACCGACGAACTGGCTATCTTCGTTCGAGTGTGCCGTCAAGGAACCAATTTCAGATGTTTCGGGTACAAATTCCGATGCCATTGTGCATCTATCATCTCGTGTGTATGAGATGTTCTCTTTAAAGCTCGATTCTTTCCACAGAAATCATCCTCTACCGGGCGTCATCAAGACATGCTGAGTCATCAGATAAGGCGGACAATAGCGGCCACAAGGTCGAATATCTCACGAAATAAAGACACTCTCGTCTACGGTCGAAAGGAACTTTGAAGCAAAATAGGCCACGGCCATCCCATTGATTGTCTGGCGCTGCTCTCCCGAATCCGAGAACAAACACAAGAACGACCGGAATTTTCCGCGAGGAATTCATAAATCTATCTGACACAAGAGACAGCAAGGGAGAGTTGTGGAAACAAAGAAACCCTCCCAACTGAATTAAAAAAAAAAAAAAAGAAGAAACAAAGATAGCGAAAAGGTTGACTGTCAAAGGAACCACACCCAGCGCCTAGAATAAGAAAAGACTTTTTACCAATGCCAATATCGGAGAACACGCAATATAGCCCAGTCCGAGTAAAAAAGGCAAAAGGAAAATCGGCTGTACTAGGGAAACCGGAAAATAGGGGAAAAAAATCCGAATGTCATACCGCATTCAACTAAACACCAGGAAGGTGACTGCCTAAGAACAAACTTTTCGAACCGAGGGATATCAGGATCAGAGATAGGGAGATGTAGGGGAAGAAAGGGTAAAAGATGGGAACAAATAATGATAAGAGAAAGGAAAAGTCGTCAAAAACGTGCGTCCAAGATTTCCGAGAAGACAAAGAGTGAACACATCAATTAAGACTTGTTCTCCTCAACAGGGGCCTCCTTGGCGGCTTCCTGGGGCTTGGGTTCGGTCTCGCCATCACCCTTGTTCTTCATGTACTCATCATAGACGTTAAGGGCCTCATCGACCTTGCCGCGGAGAGCCTCCTCATCGTCGAGCCTGAAAGAAACAAAAGTCAGTAAATCATCTCACACATAGAACGAAGGCAATAGTGTGACTTACAGGCCAAGCAACTCAGCGTTATCCATCTCCAGAAGCATACCAGTGATCTTGCCAGCAAGCTCGGGCTGCTGAGCCTGGATCTTGGGGTAAAGGGCCTCGCCGAGCATCTGCTTCTGCTGAGCGGGGGGAGCACTGAGGAGAGCCTGGTTGGCAGAGGCGGGCTCGCCACCAGCGGGCTGACCGCCAGGGGCGGGCTGGCCACGACCGCGACCCATCTGAGGACCACCACGAGCGAAACCGGGGCCGCCACGCATGTTCATGGGCATACCGGGAACACCACGGCCACCGCCGCCACGGCCGTAGGCCTGGGGCATAGGGTAACCCATGCCGTTAGGAATGCCGCCAGGAGCCTGCATGCCCATGGGCATACCCTGGAAGTTAGGAGGAAGCTGTTGGTTGGGGGGCATACCACGGCCACCCTGGGGGAAGGGACCGGGGTACTGGGGACGTCCAGCGGGCATGTTAGGCATGGGCATACCGCCCTGGGGGGCGAAGGGCATACCACCACGCTGTCCGGGGGGCATGAAGCCCTGCTGACCAGCACCGTAGAAGACGGCGGGCTGCATGAACTAGTCCAAAGTTAGTAACTGGGTAGATAACCGATCGTGAAAATTGTAACTTACAGGCTGGGGCATACCGGCAGCGGCAGCGGCCTGCTGCTGACGGATGGTGTTGCGAGCCTGGATGGAAGCCTCGAGCTGGCTGCGGCGGACATCCTTGCGCTGAGCGAGAGCAACGTAGAGAGGCTTGGAGTTGACCATACGCTGGTTCATCTCGGTGACGGCCTTGGAGGCCTCATCGGGGCTGCTGAAGCAGACGAAACCGAAGCCCTTGCTCTTACCGAAGGCCTTCTTCTCAGTCTTCTTCTCCTCGGACTCCTCAGACTCCTCGGTCTTCTTCTCCTCGGTGGTCTCCTCAGCCTTAGCCTCGGCGGTCTCCTCGGTCTTCACCTCCTTCTCCTCGGAGTCCTTCTTGTCGGCCTCCTTCTCCTCACCCTCGGGGGAGGGGGAGGGAGAGCGCTCAGCGGCATCACGCATAACCTTGGCGGAGGTGATGGTACCGTAAGGAGTGAAGAGATCACGGAGCTTCTCATCATCAATATCGTCAGTCAAGTTCTTGACGTAGAGGTTGACACCCTGGTACTTGGAGGCCTTCTCCATGCGGGCAGCCTCGTACTGCTTGCGCAGCTCCTCCTCACGCTCGTGCTTCTTCTGGGCACGGCCAACGTAAAGCTTCTGGCTCTTGACGTCCTTCTCGTTCATCTCAGCCACGGCGGCCTCGGCGCTCTCGTGGTTGGCGTAGTTGACGAAACCGAAACCGCGGCTCTTGCCATCCTGGTCGTGGCTGAGGGTAGCGGAGGTGATCTCACCGAAAGCCTCGAACATGACGCGGAACTCGTCGTCGGTGATCTCGAGATCGATGTTCTTGATGTAGATGTTGGTGAAGTTGGCCTTCATCTCCTCGAACTTGCTCTGGCGGTCCTTCTTGGAGATGTGGTGGCCGACGAAGACCTTCTTGTCGTTCAGCAGCATACCGTTAACGTGCTTGATGGCGTTGTTGGCAGCCTCGGCGGTCTCGTAGTGGACGAAACCGTAACCCTTGGAGTTGGCGAACTCATCCTGAGCGACCTTGCAGCTGAGAATGTTACCGAAGGCAGCGAAGGTGTCGTGGAGAGCCTTGTTGTCAATGGCGTTGTCGAGGTTCTTGATGAACACGTTGCCCTGGCCAG